TTAATAACAAAAGTAATAAAAAATAAAATTAAAATAAGTTTATATCTAAAATAATTAAAGCCCGTACACTACATCAGATTTTAATCAGATTGAACAATGACCCAACAACCAACAGACACCCACCACAAAAATTGTAGCTATAATTGAACACCCAAGAAAGCAACAAATATCAAGCTTCATTCTGAAAACGAGATAGAACATTACAACCAGTCATTTCAAACATGAAATCCTCCACCCCTCCCAATACACCCTACAGCATTAATGGTTCATATACTCATTTACATGTATATACAACAAGCTAAGCCAATAGAATGCACCCGACTCATCAAACTTTTGACCAACCACCCATTCTAATTATTGTTGAGTGAGAGCGCCATTTACTAAGGAAAAGAATCTTTCAAAAGTATTTTGTTAAGATTTATAAAATTAAATAAATAGTTTGAAATACTTAAATATTATTGGAAGTTTTAATAACGTGGTAAATCTCAGCCTGAGTGTCGATCAGAAAATTCAGGGCTTTACTCTGAGTGTGACCTGAACAATTTTTGTGAATCACATGTGAGTATATTCTAGTGTTTGTACAAGTTGCAGATGTAAATAAAATATCTCAAATTACCGAATTGGAATTGTTTCTATAAGCTCTAAAAACCAGATAAAATTTTTAAAAGTTCTACAGCCAGTCCTCGTATTATATTTTCCACTCGTAAAATCCTACCTACAAGATTCTGTGTCTACCGCACAAAAACGTACGACTATTTATGAATTCATGTGTCGGTGTGATACAAGGTACACAGGTAGATAGAATTAAACAACATGTTCCATCAGCAATTTGGCCGGGGAGGGAGAGAGGGGCAATGGGCCTGCTTCCATATACATACATCATTATGCCAATGACAGCAAATGTAAAAATGCCTTCACGAGGATTTATTTAGAGATTACCTTTCTTTCCTTGACATATGTAGCCTGCAGTACTATCGCAACTGCCGTCATTCCAAAGTCCACCATAGCCCTGAAAATGCATCTCTACGCAGTTTTCCTTAAAGACAATTGAATTAATGATGTAATTGAACTATATCCCTCGCTCGGTGAAAACATGCATACATTCGGAGTGGCACAGCTAATATTAATAATAATATTATCATCAAATCTTTCTTGCTGGAGTTAATGAGATATTAAAAACAAACAAAAGAACACATAGAAGAAATCATATATAGATACCGTAGTCAAGAATAAGTAGCCATGGCGTATATATGTTTACGGTACATAGCATAACACGTTTTTGATTGATTGATTTATTTTACCAGAAAAGTATGTATACAATAATTGAGATATATAAAGAGGGAAATTAATATACAAGGTAATATGTACACAATTTGAATAATTCTGGTGTGGACCATGAAAATAGTTCAGCAGAACTAGTCTAGTTCATGGCCCTGTCACTTAAAATAAATAACTAGTATGAAAAGAAAGTGGTATGGTAACATAAATGAGTAAATACTTAATAAGAAAAATACATGAGTAAATTAAATATCTAAGTTAAAACAAAATAGCAGTAAGTGGTATGCATCATTTGGACGACAGGATGCTCACTGTAATAAGAGCATTTTTTTCAGTGCTGTTTTAAATTGATTTCTACTGCGTAAACCTTTTACATGGACAGTAAGGGAATTCCAATATTTGACCGCTGAATATGTGAAGTTATGTTGGGAAAGCGATAAATTCATTTTCGGGACTGACAATTTCCACTGGAAATGGCAGTTGTTGGGTAACGATGGGAATGCTGATCAATAAAATGACTGATATCATGGGCAAAGCGATTATTCTTAACGTCAAATATAAACAAACAAGTGTGAAGTTTGCAGAGTTTGTTAATGTCAAGGATGCCAAGCTGACGAAAGAAAGGTGCAGAGTGCGTGCTTGGATGAATGTCAGATTATAAACGCACCGCAACGACCCTATTGTCAATTTTCGTATAAAGACGAGTATAAAGTGCAAAAAAACCATGTTTCGTCTAAGAGAATCGAATGTAGGCATGTTACAGTATGTAAACATACCACTAGCACTGCAGTCCCGGGACTAAACGAAACGTATTATTATACGTGACACTGATCATGAGTTCATTAATACTTTTGCGATTATGTTGAAACCAAAGCCGTGAACAATACATGTAAGCGCAAAAGGTTCGGGACAATGTAATTTAAAATCACTGCTGCAACCAAAAAAATTCGAAGCTGTCGTGTTATGTCCTCATCATCCATAACAACATATCCTAGATAAACGAGCTTATGCACAATTTTAAAGTTAGAGTCACCAAGATATACGTGTGGAAGTACATTACTTCCAAGAGCACTCTTCCGAGGAATAAAGTACATACAATCAAATTTAAGCTGTTTATTATATATGCTACGAATATATCTTGAATTTATTACTTAGTAGAAATAACATCATCTCTAATCTGCTTTGCGAAACTAAATTGCCAAGAATAAACAAACGCCTTGCACACAGTACAACATTTGTCATGTTACAAACTGTGGTTCAAGCCAGTAACGTGGCAATCAATATGATGTAAAATGTTAACAATTTTAGCAAACACTCTCTTGAAAACAATATAAGCTAATAGTGTTTTTTTCATTACTCTATTTAGCATTGCTGGCAAAAGGCACAACATTAATGTTTTCTGAGGTGGTAATGACCCCCTTTGTGCTTGTATTTTGTTTACACCGAATGCATACGGGTAATATATGCATAATGTGATTTTTAGTTCATCACAAACAAGCAATATCAATTTGAAAAAAATACAAGTTTTTAAAGATTATCTACACAACTTAAAAGCTTACCTGATTTTCTCCGTTGGGTTCACCTGCTCTCCAGTTATAGTAATCCACACTGGATCCATCAGTCCATCTGTATTTACCTTCTTGTATAGTATCACTGAGGCCGATCCACATAGAATATTCTATATCACGAAGGTTGCTTGTGAGATAAGCTATAATTGAACACATGAGTATGAGTTAGTGAAAAATAATATAAAATGCACAATTCAAACCGGGTATAACTCGAAATATGCATAAAGTACTGGCAATATAACTTACACCAAGGTGATTTGTTAACACCAAAAGCGAACAAGAACATTTTTATATCATTGGAAAGACGGTGACTGGATCATGCAAACCAGACACATCGCACAACAAAAGTATCGTATTTTACCTTGCAAAGCCTGGCTATGAATTGTAGCAAGGTCGCCACCAGCACTCCTGCAACGGTCCCTGGCTGTATACCAGTCAACGACATACGATTCATCGCCACCATTGAACTGATAACATTTCTCTGTATGCTCTAGAAATCCCTCTGGGCAGTAACCTGATGGGGCTGGTGTGGAAACTATTGAGGGCGGAGTGATAGCTCCGATCGACTTTTTGCAAACAAATGGCATCCTATCACCACAGTTCATATCATTCCATGACGAATCTTATAAATATATATATTAAAAAGTTAAGATGATTAAAAATGAGATATAATTTATAAAATGGTGACAATTAACCGAATGCGTCAATTTAGCTAGAAGTATATCGCGTGTTGGACATAACTATACGGCTATATGTTGTGCCATGATACAATAATTTTATTTAATGTGTTTTCATAAAATATACACCAACAACAATCGAACTGGTAATCATTTACCGTATTCTCGGCACTCGACACATTTTTCTTGTCCATCACTGTCATTTGGTTCTCCATGAGCCCAATTAATATAATCCAGCGGTGAACTGTCCGACCAGCTAATAATAAAAAAAATATTTAATTACGTGATGATTTTTTTCTGTTGAAACAACACGTGAATACTATTTATACGATAACATCTATAATTCATTTATTTTTACCTGTATGTTGATGAAGCTACATACTCGCGTAGTCCAATCCAAACATTATACTTTCCTGCAATCTGCAGACGAATATATATATTATAAATAAATATTCATATATATATGAATATTTATAATGAGAATTTATAATGAAAAATATCAATACAACATGTCACATCTGAGTACGTATGAAGTAGTAATAGCGAGGTTTGCCAGTTACCTGGTTATGGACAAATGTTTGCGTGGAAACCGAATGAATCGAAATCAGTTCTGCAGCTTGTTGTCTACAATACTGACGGGCATCTTCCCAGCTTTTGTCGGCTACAGAAGAAGTTTTGCTAAAGAAATAACAAGCGGTGCGATGCCGGATCCATTCTTCATTATCACAATTACCTGCACCTATAAATGAAATGTATTTTGTGACCTAAATTATACGACAATTTGTTTGTGCAAAGAAATCGAGATCAACAGTCAGTAAAAAAAAACGAGTATCTTATAATAACGATGATTTAGAAAATTCATTTAGAAAGTGGTTGATTCGTCACTTACTTGGCTCTGTGGTAGCTATAGCTGGTGACGATGTAGTTGACGGAGACACACCTAATATCAGAGAAGTTTCAAACCGTATGTGTTACGTGTGACAGGTATATATCGACACAAAATCAATATCACATATCATCAATGATCGAGACGAATGGAATATCAATATATACCTTTTCGTATTTTGCATACCCAGCTTTTCTTTTGGTCACAGTGTAAATCATTCCAGCCACGCTCAGTGGAAAAGAACATTTCAACACAGTCTTCATTGTTAACGTCATTCGGTTCGCCTTCGTTCCAGTTGATATGCTCTAGAGGGGACCCGTCACTCCACTCAAAACCTAAAAAAACAAAACAAAAAAAAAACACATAAAAATAGGGTGTAGCGTTTTTTTTGGATAAATTAACAAAATTCGCGGTTTCAAAATGTGTTTTATTACCAGTTTCGTCCATACGGTCGTTTAGCCCAATCCAAAAGCCGTCCCATGTATTCCTGATAGAAACAGAAGCAAAACTTAATAAATAACTAGTTAAGTTTACTTAACTAAACATATTCATCATTACTGTACATACCAAATGTTAGCTACGACAATACTTTTTTTAATGAAACACTTGTCTTACTCGATTTGAGAGTTCAAAATGACGTAATTCTCTTCCTCTGCGCTGTGAAAACTCGCCAAATCAGCTCCCATAGTGACACAACTTGCACGTGCGGCACTCCATGTCTTTCTGTTATAAGAACCAGTTCTATAGACAGGCTAAAATGAAATAGAGTGAGCTTCAACAGTGCGTTATTAAGTAGATATTTTTCTCTAATCGACTGCCAACGAGATTTCAATATTATTACGGGTTTTGACACTGCTCAAGTTTTTTCTATTATTTGTACATTTATCTAGGAAACGAACGCCACTTAGTTTCATCTTCACACGGAGATGATATGAAAAACTTATTAAGGAAATCTCTTAAATAGTGTATTCACATGGCATCCCAATATATTGCACGCTGATTTTGATACGATGTGATATTCGTAATGTCTAGTGAATATCATGATATATAGACAAGATTTATTAATTATAATAATGTAAGATATATTTATTTCACAGGCCATGGCGTACATGGATATCAACATATAATTATTATGGATGAGGTAATGAACACAATAAAGCAAGCCCGAAATATATAGATAATGAATTACAGACATTAAAGGGGTTATATTATTAAAGTGCAAAAAAGATGATTTTTTACACGATCGAATGCTTTTTCAAAATCAAATTATGCACAGTGCAGTCGACCATTTAATTTCTGTACATCATTCGGTATCTCATCAACTTTATATGCAACATCGCTATTCAACTAGTTCATTTTATTGGAGAGTAGCGACTTCATCGATTTCATTTTAGCCATGAACGTTATCCATGGTGCTTCATTATCTGCATCTTTAGCGCTTGATGCAAACCGTTCGTTATCTTGGCTTGTTTCTAAATAACACTTGGACGGGTATCAGGCCCGAGTTCGTTAAGAAGAAAGTAAAACATGGCCGAACTATTTATCTCAATTGCATTTCTATTGTGTTTACAGTGCAGTTTTCCCGATTTGTATTCAATAGCCGACGCCAAAGACTACCAGTAATAGTTTCTAATTTGATACTCACCAAAAAACAATTGTCTTCAAATCCAACCCAACCAGTTGAACATCCAATATCCGATGGGTTGGTAGGTGGGCCAGTATATGGTGGGGGCGGCGTGTAACCAGGCAACCACTTTTCACATATGTAGTATTTAGATTCGCTACATTGATGACCATACCACAAACCAGGAACATTGTCTACTGCCATGGCAACACAATCACCGGTACGTGTATCTGTGTGGGAGGCATGATATGATATATTAGATCACAAAAAATGTTATAACTTTGGATGCAGTGTTCATTGGATACTCATATGGTAATGGTGATTGAAACAAGGCTGGTCATGTTGGGTACAAGAGAAATCCTACAGATCGAAATATGAGTGCATGGTTTTTAGAAAGATAGGTATCAGTGAGATATAAGGTATAAGATATGTTTTACAAATAAGTGTTTTATTTTGGAACCTGTATTAGAGGAATTATCACATTCAGAAACAATTTCACGGAAGAGGTTTACTTTTAAGCTCTGTTTTCAAAAAAAAACTTTCTCATGCAAAGGAAAACAAAATAGAGATCTCATTTATGAAACTGTATTCAAAGGAAAGGTATTATTTACAAAACTGCGTCAAAAAGTAGGTCTTATTCAAGGAACTGTATTTAAATTAGGGATTTCATTTAGGGAACTGTATTTAAACGATTGGTTTCAATTAGGGAACTGTATTTAAATGATGGGTTTCAATTAGGAAACTGTATTTAAATGATGGGTTTCAATTAGGGAAATGTATTTAAATGAGGGGTTTCAATTAGGGAACTGTATTTAAATTATGGTTCCAATTAGGGAACTGTATTTAAATGATGGGTTTCAATTTGGTAAATGTAGTCAAATGATGGGTCTCAATTAGGGAAATATATTTAAATGAGGGGTTTCAATTAGGGAACTGTGTTTAAATGAGGGGTTTTATTTAGGGAAATATATTTAAATGAGGGGTTTCATTAAGAGAACAGTATTTGAAGGGGAAGTCTCATTTAGGAGACTGTATCAAAAAGTCTTATTCAGGGGACGGTATTCAAATGAGTTATTATTTGGGGTATGAAAGTTTTTACCCGGAGTGAGATATAGTTAATAGTTAACATTTGTTTAGAGTGATGACTTCCGTCCGTAGGACAATGTAGTGCCTTTCAAAGAACACTGATCTGAAAACATTGCGTACCTGGTTGGTTATCTCCCCAGTTCGTATACGTCACTTTTTCTCCATCAACCCAGTCATATTCACCCACTGATGACAGATCGTTCAGTCCAATCCAATAACGTTCGTTTCGAATAAGGGTACTTAATATACTGGCTAGAAAAGCTTGTTCCAAACTATAAATACATTGAAAAGTAACGAATGTTATATTTGTTTTGAAACTGTTTTCCGATATGATATTGTGTTTATTAAGAAGTTGCAATTACAAATGTCGATAGTAGATATAGTGCATTTTGACACAGGAGCAACCTTCCATATGTGAAGCTATGTGACGGGGATTAGTCATCATCTTTCTTACATAACTATGGCTTTATTTGTAGAGCATAGTTAAAGCCCATTTTTACAAAGCGCCCATTTAAAGATACCATTTCAGCATTGTGCAACCAATGACCTCATCGAAGTGTAACAGTGTTATATTTCTTACGCCCTTTTCAAGTCTGGTGCCATTAGTTTTCAATAAAACCAGGTTAATCAAGGTGGCAACCATTACTGAATGAACATCGGCCAGATTTAGTTTGGCTCCTCAAATGATTCTGTGACAAACTGACCCATGGAACGACTCAACACAATGTTGATTTTAACCCCAGGGTGGATCTTCATTCTACTGATTATGAGACCGGTACCACCGCGACTACATTGACAGTTCCAATTATGTTCATTTCTCAAACATTGTTAAATACAATTTAAAAAGCATGTTTTGTTTAAAATTAGAACAATGTCACCTTATAAATGTGTACACTCACTTGTCATTCACCGTGGCTAAATTACCACCCCATGCTTGGCACTGTGTCTGTGCATTGGACCATGTCTTTGTTGGCGTGGATTCAAATCGATAACACGAATAACCCGATCCGATCCATCCCTTGATTTATCATAACCATTACACGCACACAAAAAAATAAATAAATAAACAGCATGAAAGGTTTCTTAAGGTTCTGTTCATTCCGTTCCTTCTTCTCCGAATGAAGTGCACGAAAAGAATGCCAGAAAAGAATAGAAAGAAATCGAAACGATACTAATAGGGGCCCAAGCCCCATTGGCTTGTACCCCTAAGAGGAAGTAAAGACACAACGATAACAACATGGCCGCAAGCTTTGCTTGTAACCCTAATAAATTATTGATATGCAAATTTTGAGGTATGCAACTGTGTGTAATTACATATAGAGATATATAAAAAGAATTAAATATAAACAATTTTTGTTTTAAATATGAAATAAAGTGCATCGTATTTCAAAATACGAAATTGCCTGTTTTGAAATCACAATTCGTTAAAACTACAACAAATATTTACTCACGGCGTCACAGTTTGTTAAACCCACAGTTGTTGGCGGTAATACTTCTTTCGGTTTCTTGCACACTGACATAAAATATTTGGAGCAATCACCGTCGTTCCAATATCCTCTTTTGTCGTTCTTATGAAAAAATAAAGTGCATAAGAAAATTGAAAGTCAAGAAAATTGAAAAACAAGCGTTTTCGATAGGCGATTATGCCAGTACATTGCACTGTTCAATTGATAATTGTTAATATCTGAATTCTTTATAGAATGTTGGCTAATTTACTGAAGACGTATCATATTGAATTGATTTTGAACTTACATGAGTGAAAATATTTCCACAATCTTCATTGCCACCGTCATAGTTGTTCGGTTCTCCATTTGCCCATTTGGTGTAGGTGACGTCACTCATATCCGACCATTGGAAGGACATTTGCTGTCTCAGATCAGTAAGTCCCGTCCAAACTTTGTCGTCACTTTCTGAATTTAAATAAATATAACATATACTTGAAGAATTAGTTTCTCCCGAAAAATACACAAGACCAACGGGACATTTTTCCAAGTTGGCAAAGTCGATATCACCACAATTACACCTCAATAACTCATGGTGAAGAATATGACTCTTCATAGTAAAAAAAACATAGAAACATGTTGTTGTAACATATGCTAGTTTACTTGTATGCACCAATGAATTTACAATTTTAAAGACAGCATTGTGTATGATATATAGTGACAGACAGCTTCCGATGGAGATCTCGCGTGAAATGAAGAAGAATCAGGCGAACTATGAGATGATAACTGAATCATACGACAAACATGCATCTCTGAAAATACTAATGCAAATAGGTAAATGGTCGCTAGTGTTCATACTTATTCGTAAAGCGTGTATTTGGTGTATTAATCGCTTTTGAATTCGACGATGCTCTGGCGCATTTCTGTTTATGTAATCCAACTGTATGTGTATGTATCCAAATGTAAATGTATGGTGATATATAATAAAGAACATAAAACAAAGATGTTACTAAATATGCAACAAATCATGCTCGAAATATACAATTTTTTTCTATATGATTAGCGAGCAGTGATTCACAATATAATCACCAAAAATAAAACTACTTTTGAAAATCGGAGACTACATGGCATATATTACGATTTGATACTGGACATTTATACATACGATGAAACGGGTTTTAGTTAATTTTGTAGTGAGATCGTGCATTTTTACAAAACCCTTGTACATTTCCTTTTTCCCGCACTAACAATGTTGATTTGCATTGAGATACTACGTTGTAATGAACTCAGGGTCATATCAATATCAATGCTAATGAGATGACGCGATATAAATCATTGAGTACTCCCAGTTTGTCAAATGTTATTATATTATATCTGTGTCATCGTATGCCTACCTCGATTGGTATGTTCCACGCAAAGTCTGAACTCCCCTTCACTACCCCAACCGGTACTATAACCAACAAAATTAACAGGAAGTGGATCAGGGTCCTTCCACTGAATGAACGGGGCTTCACCTTCACGCCCGACTTTAATTTCACCATTGCTCCAACTAATCCAAAAGGATCTCCACTCATTCATTGAAACTATACCAGGTGTTTGGACAGATTTTTTCTCGTTGCTTAGCGAACCTCGACGTATTACTGAACGTGTGTTTCCCGAAGCACCAAGGACAATTTCGTACATCGGGTCGATCACTCGTTCTTCTTCGGATAGGGCTATATGGACGTCGTTATTGGCTTTCACTTCGAAATCCGTACGAGTGACGCCAGGCGACGCTTCGATAAATTGGTAATCGTAGGATGTGCTCGTTGAGTCGAAATGCCATTCTTCGCACACTGAGAAAACACATTTACATTACAGAAATAGTAACAGAATAAACAAACACTCTTAAATATATACATCTCATTTTAGTAGGCGTGGCACAATGTACCCATCATATATCAATTAGCTAAATGAAAGCAATCTGCTTGCAAAAATTAAATTAAAAAAATACAGATCAGTTAAAACACTCAAACATATAATGTACTATTTTTTTTATAAAACAAATAGCTTCGCTCATTTAAATGTAAACACAAAGTAATGACATTGGCAGATAATTTGAAAGTAAAATTTAAATTATCTTACTAGAATGGATGAAAGTTGTGACAAAGTTATTTTCACTCTCATCAGCGATAGAAACGAGATCACCACCAAACTTCCGACACGATTCCAGTGCATCTATCCAGGGCATTCTGACAGTTTGCAGATAATAACAGTAACTTCTGTAGCTCCACCAACCAGCTTGACAGCGTGAATGTGGAGCGAGCGTCGTCAATTGCCCTGTATCTGGTCTAGAAACTGACGAGGAATGAGTGAAGTACAGTTAGATGTATTTCCAAGAGGATCAAGCGATCAACAGACATGATGCGTTTGAATTTGTAAGATGGAAGTGTTAGATTAACATCAATGAATAATATTGAGAAGCAAAACACTTCATTCCACATCCTTGGCTGATAACTCCATGCTCAATAATGTAAAGAAATAACAATAAATAATAATTAAGTTTAAGATAATTTTACACTTACCAACTTCATAGTAGTCGATTGGATGATTGAGATATGTTATCAGCCCACCACCGGTATTCTGATTCTCAGAACTTAACTCACAAGCAATGTTAACTTTGTCATAGTTAAATGACATGCATGTAAACTGTTTTTCTTCCAAGCATCGCTTAGCACATTCTTCTGGGTAGACATTCTCAATGTGTAGACTGCTAAGGGCTGAGTCCAATGCGTTGTCATGGTAAACATAGAAATGATCTACAATTACCCCTGTTATGTGAAAAAAAGTAAATGCGTATATTTTGAAAAAAATGGTTGTTTTAAATAAACAAAATGACAAAACATTGGAACTCATCTCCCCTAGTTCATTGAAGCATCACATGACAATTGAAAAGTATTACATAAAGTATTACATATCGTACTTGCGTAATTATGGGAAGATGTACCATGTACCAAAGACCCATCTTGCGAGTCAAGCACGTGCATTGCTGCTTACATGTTTAGATCAGCAAGGCTTGTATTCATAACCATCTTCTGACTTGCGGTGAGAATCGATTAAATATGAACACGACACGATACTCGATTTTGAATTATCAACATGAGATTAAAGTAGTTTACCTTTATTTTTACATATGTATCCAATATTATTATCGTAACAATGATGGTCGTTCCACAGTCCGCTAGTTACGATTATTTCCGTGCAGTCTTCGCCTACATTTGCATCATTCGGTTCACCTGAACGTGGAAAAGTATACAATCAAATTAAATAGCAAATTGTTATAGCAATTATTTAAATATGTGATAATGGCAGATGATAATTCTATACTGTCCTGACGTAGTTCGTGATAATTATTGTGCCATCGGCGACGAATTAGTTTGCGTCCAAGTACATCCGTCGGCGAGGGCGTAATTATCGCTGATCAGGTCAAGCTATACCTGTAACATTGTTACTTCGCTTTGTTGTGCTCCAATATTTAAACAATATGAAATAGCATTCACATTACATCGCAAACTATTTGCTCATTACAACTATAACTTGTATGTGCCACCACATGAGGCTTTTTGGTGCAGATGTTCCGTAATCAACCGTTAATGAACTCATTTGACTGTGCGTGTTACTTACCCACGTGCCAATTCAGGTATGCGAATGCAGTGCCATCTGACCAACTCCAGCCTCCTTCTACCGTCCTATCATTGGCACCAATCCACAACACAGGGGCATTCAAGCCATACATACGAGCTGAATAATACAATAGTACAGAATATTAATAAAGATATTGAACTATATTAAAGCAGGGGCAGTTGTCACCTGCGCATTCGTCAGGTGGTCATATCGTGTTTGCAAACAAGCGTCTACCCATGATCCTTTGCGTTTTGAGCATATGTTGTTATCGTCGCTTGGGACTCGATTCCCGCGCGTGCGCAGGTGACGACCCTTCCGCTAGTGAATTGGCGTCATTTATATACTATTCGGAGTAGTTTTTTTGGGGGGGGGCATTTATGTAGCTTAGCGAGGTGTGTGTATGTTTACAGTGAATCGGTACGTATCTATATGTCAGCAATGTGCCTATAATTTATATTCAATAAAATTGCGATAAATATCTCACCTGTGATATGAGTTTGCTCTTGGAAGCCCGATATACTAAGTAGATGACCGCCACCAACATGACACTGTGTCTCAGCATCGTCCCAGGATAGGTATTCATCAGTAACGAACTTATAACAGGTAGAGAGGGCGGGGTAGTATTCGTATCCACGCCCACAGCTGGGATTATATATGGCTACGAAAGAAGAATGAATCAAGAACGCTTATTTCGAAGAACAAGGTCAGTCAGGTGGAAGGAAATTACCTTTGTGACAGCAGTGTTATTAATCATACATGTTCTTGAAGCAATATTCATTGTAAAGTTTCGACTAATTAAAAATATGAATGATTTCATAATTTAATACTTACTAGTTGGGTTTGGAGCAGTTGTAACCATGCCGCCATTATCTATAAAATATACGTTACTTTTTGTAAGTGCTCTATTGTTCCCGCATTCACTCTCTCACTTAATCGATTTTCACTTAGTTTTATTAGTTGTTTGCTTATATTAGTTATTTTGAGGACTTACACTTTCGTTTCTTACAGATATATCCCATTAAATCGGTACAGACTTGATCATTCCATTCTCCCAATTTATCTTCTTGGTCTATGAGATGCACGCAATCTTCTCCTTCCTCTCCAGCATTGTTTGGTTCACCCGGCCCCCAGTTAGTAAACACAAACTGAAATAATATATATAGAATAAAGGATAAAGTGAACACACTGAGACTCTGACGCACTTTTAGAAATTTACCAAGCATTCAATGGAGGGCCAAAGTATACAAGGATGTTAGCTGATGTTAACAATATTATAGGCACAATGATTGAGAATACAGTGACGGTTACTTCGTATCAAAACTACTTCGTACCAAGTCACTACGTACAAGGCGGTCAATTCGTGCCGCGAGGTCGGTTCTCATACCACAAGGCCACTTCGCACCACTAGGTCGAGTGCACCACGTGGTCACTTCGTACCACAAGATCATTTCGTGCCACAGATTTGATAATATATTTTTAAATATATCCTCGCCATCGGAAAGCCAGTATAAACAACAATGCAGTCTAGTGATACAATCAGAACACGAATTGGGACGTAGTGACTTAATACTAAGTGTTTTGAATTGAAATGCACCCTAGAGTACGATGTGCCCGTCTGGATCGAATTGAATTTGTAGTACGAAGTGACCCTGTTATACGAAGAGACCGTATGAAACGAAACGAAGTGAACATGTAGAACAAATTCACCATGTGGCCCGGAATGACCCTGTGGTTCGAAGTGACTTGGGACGAAAAATCTAATACAGCCATATTATGTAACAGATATGTAAAGTGTGGTAGATTTGCGTAATGAGAAATACTACTTGACTATTTGTTTAAAAATGGATATACGTGATTTCAACATAATGATATTTGTGATGTAATGTGATACATGTCTTTAATGTAAAACCAACCCACCCTCAACATAAATTAAAACAAACACGCCCTCACCGGTGTTCCATCGAACCATTCAAACTGGTTTTCGTCATCTATGTCATGCAAACCAATCCAAAATCTAATGCCAATATTAAAGACTCGTCCTAATAATACAAACATGTACAGAAATACATGGTAATTGTAATGATATATTACTATTCACGATTCGTCACATGAATATGTGGGCGGATTTGCTATATATATTAATATACGATAAAGGTGCAATACAGACTGCTTGATAATGTATGTGAACGGTTTGTGCTATGATTTGTCATTATGTTAAAACCCTGTTTTGTGGCACATGTATTCGTTCGATGAAACATTACAATTACCCAATACGCATGCGTCACAGGCTGTTTTGCTACGTACAATAATGTCATCGCACATGCGTATTAGTGCTTTTAGTTTATGATAAATTATCATTCGATTTGGTGTACAACATGGAGTATCAAACCACAATATTAAAGTTTTCCTTCACATTGCATCTTCAAATGCCAGTCAATGTGACGCCCTAAGTGTGAACACCTTGCTCAGTTTTGGTTGGGTGGGGAAAAGACCCACCGCGATTACTCACATTTAAATTGAATGTCATATATTTGGAAAATGATTCAATAATAAAACTCCTAATCGTAAAATCACAACAACTGTATAACAAACATCACATCACGTCATATTTACCGTTAATAAAACTCTGCTCGTCTTCGTCCTCTATGCTAGCTAACATAGCGTTGTGTGAGCCACACGAATCCTGTGCCCCGTGAACGGTCTTAATAGTAGTGTCAAATAGATAACAATAATCACCATGAAGGGTCCATCCGGCATCACAACTACCAATTCCTACATATATGTATTGTCAACATTAGGCACGAACAAATTCACAATCACATTCACGTATTCAATTTTGTGTCTGATGGTTATCAGTCTGATATTTAAAATCAGAAGGATAATTCAAAACATCCCCGTCGCATAATTCCCGGTAATTTGACAAAGGTCTAGTAAACACATACATACCAATATTTGGCGTAATGGTCCTTACAGGTATATCTAGAAATTAAGTAAAAGTGAGAAAAAATGTGTATATCTTTTTTGCTGCAGGTGGTGTATAATCCTCACATAACTTAGGGACTTCTATGAGGTGTATATATTTACTGCCCACGTCACTAATGTTTTATTTCATACGACATTATTTTGGAATATAATACAAAATGAATGTTTCTGCGTGTAAAAAAAATGAATGAGATCACTAACCTGTCGGTATCTCACAGATGAATTGCTGGAGAAGAAAACAGTTCTGTGTGTCCCATTCACCCATATCTATAAATATACATGTATGGTAATTCTTGCAGCACTGTTTAATGTAGTGAAACACAGTAAACAATGAACACAATTTGACAAATCTCCACCAACAAACCACAAACAAGGTTCTGCATATATTACGTTACGTGAGATGAAGAGAGCAACAGAAGTAGACTTCATTCCCTATAAATCGATGTCGATATGGTGTAGTTGTTGTGTATGTTTCCAAATAATAACAAATCATAAACGTTCAAATAACATTACTATATTTGAAAATGAATACAGAAAAGTTGATCCAATTTTTCACCCGGAAGCGTTGGATCACGTATCAGGGGTCACTCAAAACGTGGACACTAGAGGGCGAAACGATCGACCCTTACACCTCTCTGTTGCTTTATATTACTACAAGGGCGGCGGCGACCGTATCTATATCACTTTTTTACCCCATATTTAGGACATTTCGCAGCACATACAAGTTGTTTTTATCGACAGAATTTATTCATATTGATTCAGTGTTCCGACTAGGAGGTCGTTTTTATCTGGTTTCACTTTATTTTAATTCTAGAGAGCACAGTACTACAGATATGTCAATTTCTGGTGTATGTGTTGCCAATTGCAACTAAAAATAGCTAACGCGCGTAGGTGGTGAAACTAAACTGTTAAACTCACTCCTCGTGCTTCCATAGTGTGCGTATACTTGTTCTATTAGGGAATCTTTTAGCGACTTTTTTAGTTATTTTTTTAGTTGTCATGCGTGTTTTTGCGTTTTTATCGTCTGTCATAATATTCTTTTATATATGAGACGAAAGCCATTGCTTGAGACATCTAGATATTTTGAACCGTTTCTCAGGAAAAAGATTACTAAATGTCATTTACTAAAATATTTAATATAATATTTGTCGACCGAAGTAATTTATTAACCCTGTGTATTTTAATCGACAATTGTACAATGTATAATAAGAGTAGAACATGTTTTCAACTTACGGTATACTTCAGTATAATCAACACAGTCTTGGCATTCACAGTGATCGAAAGTAGATCCACACCAACCGTACGTAGAGCAGCATGGGAACCCACTGTCTGGATTACATTCCGCTGGTGTACCGTCCTCTAACGGGTAATTCGGTCCACATCTTCCGTCTGACCGCCACGTTTTAGGACCATCATAATGCCCTGAAAAACAAAACACGGTGTATACATTTTATTACAGGACTCATATTATAACGTTTATGTTCATAACGTAATATCCCCACCATTGGAATTGATCGGCGTAGGGCGTAGTTTGCGTCATACTTCAACAACTCTTACGATATGTTTGGCAAGCGATGCGTTTGTGTTGAGTTAGATATTCAAACTTTTGTTCTCATTTGTCATTTACATTGTTGGACGACACACTCTTGTATGACTTTTGGACTCAACCCAAAAATACACCTCTTCTTTAAACCCTGCTTCACGTGAAAATAAGACGATTTCACTTCATTTTAATTCCATGGAGCAAATCAACTCTGGTGCGTAAAAGGGGGAAACTATTACTTGGTGTAAACAGATTTAAAATACGCCGTTTTAGAGCCAGTGAGAACACCAGTGTTGGCACTGGTCCTACAAACATATACCTCCTTTTTTTAAATCCCAAGGTTCATGGACACAAAGATAATAGAAAAAAATTGAACCAACATACCGATGTATACATAACCACAGTCCGGTTGACCCACTGTGTCTACAGGCTGACCAATGTCCCAGTTTCTGAATGAAACGGATGTTGTTCCATCAGCCCAGGCGAAATCACCGTCGTTCACGACATCTGTGAAATCAACACGTTGTAACGTTAATAGATATCTACAACCCATTTTATATTATATTTTATTTTTATATATATATTACAAACAGGATCATTGCATATGACGCGTGTGTCGAAGCTAGTGTCCTAGTACACGATTGAAGGAAAAATACATACTTGCATTTTGAACTATCGTGTTGGCTATCGGAAATGATTTCTGCACATTCAATGCTCATGAATATTAATTTACGCAAATGAGACTATTCGTATCAGCCAATCGTGTCGTGTGCGACTAAAATCTCAAATGTTTGTCGAGATTTGAAACGTTCGACACTATACAGAGCGTGAACACGATTCACTACGAAGACCGCTAATGGTGATATTCAACAAAATTAGTGTACGCAAAAGTTCGCATTTATTCAATTTCTTATGGTAAAACTGGACACTTCTAAAACTCAATATTATAATCATGTAAACACCAATGCACGTTGTATAAATCCCCAATAATAGTAATAAACAACAATACCTCATTCATATCCCGGATATATCACTCGACACTACACAAAACTTCTATATACTTAAAGCGGAGGGGTCGTCACGTGCACCTGCACACGCGCTGGAATTGAGTCCCAAGCGATGATAACATCACACACTAAAAACGCAAAGGCTCATGGGTAGACGCTTGTTTGTAAACAATGACACGCTATGGCCATCTGACGCATGCGCAGAAGACGACTCCCCCGCTTTAACAACACACATGGTAATTAAACCACCGAGCGATAACTTATAATTTATGAATCATATTTCAAAACAATAGCTACCTGAAATGCCGATCCACATTTCTTTAATCCCTGCATCACCCAAAGCCGGAAACTGACTAACCAGGAAGTCATTTTCACCACGACTATATTATTAGAAAAACAAATTGTCAACCGCGGTTGCAATGTATTTGTTTCTTTGAATGTACAGTTGAGAATGAGTATGAAATTAAACTATCGCTACTATTTCATGGGTGGTAAATGCATGACGGATCTTAATTCATTATTAATTTCTTGTTGTGCAAAGATATCATGACCCGCATCAAAAGACACCGATAATGTGGAGACCTATTTCTCTAGTGTTCATATATCGATGTGGTTCTTAGAGTCCAATCGCGGAAAATCTAGAAAAGACTATTTGTTTCTTTAAATATTATTCAACTTAAAAACTACCCGGGGCGATTGTTTGATATACTCGGATCACAAGACAAATAAAAAACCCTTTACTGAATGACTCGAACAGTGTAATGGGGTTAAATAATCATTTGAACCGTCATTGATGACGTAACATGTGTAACCGTATTTACTTGTTTATAGTCACCAGATGTCCCGCCTGTGCGTCACACGTATGTTTGGCATCGGTCCAAGTTGCAGGGAAATACGTCTGAAACTGGTAGCATGAACCTGCATGGATCTTCCAACCAGCTGCGCATTTGCCTGTCAACATTAGTGAAATCAATATCAACAATTCAGTGAAAATTACATATATTCGGACATATTTGTGTGCATAATTTCACGACGATTTCACTTCCCGTTTAGAACTAGTACTTCTAGTATTAGTGTTTGTTCAAATTGTTTCTGTGAATGAAATAAAGCGTATAGAAAATACTGTCCGCGACAACTAATTGAAATGGCCGTCGAGATCTCCTAGGGAGCGAGAAAACAAGACGACTTGTTTTTGTTAACCAAATGGTATTCATCTTCCGCGTCCACTGCAACCATGTCCAAGAATATACTCAATAATTGGAACATACAAATCACGAATACAATCAATATTTTCTGACCGAACTGTTATCCTCACCTTCATTCTTTTGACAGATGAATGCATTTGTTGACACGGAACAGTCTTGTGTAAACCATTCACCGTTAGTGTCGAATCTAACCTCCACACAGTTACCGGCACTATTTCTGAAATAACAAGCTTAGTAATAACTTTTCAGTAATAGTTTTTATTATATTTTTGATTCAGCTAGGAAAAGATTCGATTTCTTCCCAAGCAATTATCAGTATTAGGAAATAAACGACCGAAAATGATTGAAACAAAAGCGTTTCACAAATAATATTCCTGAACAACATAATATGTTGTATTGCCATTCATACGAAATCTACATCATTTATTTAACAAAATGATCGGAGAACACAAGTTTCGTGACGACAATTTCGGACCAAATGGGCAGTTCGAATATTCAATACCTAAGGTCTAAAAATAAAAAAAAATGTGTTTCTGGCCAGCATGTAATAACAACATAATAAAAATGTATAATCACTGGGGAATTATTCAAACCATGGCATGTTCAAACCTAATGAAAAAAAGAATTGCTATTCTTTATAGAACGAGAACTGACTAACGGTAGCCATTAATGGCGAAGAAAAGTTCTCGTCCTATCCGTCCTTGGTGAACTCTTAACTTTGATTGCATCTGACGCAGCGACAATATTGCCTGCAAAACGAAAATAGGTCACTGGACAAAAGCAACAGTGTAAAGTGTTTTTTCGCTATCATCTTTGACTTCTATATGAATTACAACAACTAGAGATATCACGAGAATACTGCACATTAGGCATTCATGTAGCATGGTATCGTATCCTTGCGGTATTCTTGTGACAAACACATAATTGCGAGTATTCTTACCTGCTATCTGGTTGACCAGGAGACCAGTTATTGAAATTCCCTAGATCACGATTATCAATCCATTTATACTCGCCATTCGCACCGAGCTGTAAAATATGCTAACATTAACTAACCTACTATATGTGTAACTGTATGTCAGTTCGTCCGACCGTCTGCATTATATCTATTATTTATTTTACCCATCTACGTACCTTATCGGTTAATCCAATCCAAACATCACCATTCCGTGATTTCTCGTAAACATATTCCTGTGTAATCGAGTTTTGCACAACAATGAGATCCGCGTTCACGTCCACACAGAATGACCTAGCAGCGTCCCACGTTTTTGTATTTGCATAGTACTTCAAACATTTACCATTCACGGAGTCCCACCCATTCGGCTCATCTCAAGCAATGGGCAATGCTACAGTAAAATTACAATACAAAAGTTTAAAATTCGCATTTTAATGTACGTCATTCCAAATCAATGCCTTATGCAGGGACGATTTTGCTGTATAAAAAGTTGATAAATTGCAATGTTCTGAATATTGTTTAATATTTTCTCTAAAAACAAAAACAAATTATGTGCTCATATGTTTCAAGTTTCGATGAAAAAACTTTCAAATATCTTACTCATCGCTGTTTGACATACAATCCCATCCGCGTTGTCATAACAGGAATCATCATTCCATTTGCCGCTACTCAGTCTTATTTGCACGCAGTCCTCTGAATCCTGACTGTTACTCGGTTCATTAGTATCCCAGCACCTGATAGAAATAGTGGGATCGCAAGTTAAAATAATAACTGATTCTGTCTATTGATTGGTACATACTTTGAAGGACGCCACCGCACAGTGGAGTCGCTAGTTCTGTTTGAAGAGGGACACAACACTTACGATTCATAATCCTTCAGTGGTGTGTTATCAACCCATAAGAAGTTTTCCTCCTCACCAATGTCATGCAAACCTATCCAGTACAGGGATGCTTCTTCTTCCAGTATGGATGCTACATAATCCTGGAATTAAGATAGATTAGGATAATAGGTTGTCTCCGCCTCCAATATCGGGGAATGAAATCTACTTCAATACAGTTGAAAATGAAGAAATGTTTTAGCGAGGACGGTTTTTGCAGATTAGATATTGTTGATATACTCCGTACGAAGAAAACATGTGTGTATAAATCACTGTCCCATCCTCGTTATTGAATTATTGCTTCTTTTCATTTGTCCGGCCCACTACGACAAACTAATGGCCCACATATCTTCCCAGCATGGAACATCTAATTGCATTAAACTTACATTCATTTCAGCTGTTTCAATGACAACTAACGTACCACCTAACTCCGCACACCTTGCCCTAGCTTGATAGGCATTACGTGGATCTTCGTCTGAGATCACTTTGAAACATTTTTGCATGTGAGTGTACCATCCTGATGGACATCTTTGACAGTAACCTACAGACGACACGGACAAGAGTTGATATGTAAACGACACTAATGTGTGTATGTTTGTAGCTCAGTGGAGGAGGTTTTAATCTCCCTCGAATGATATATGTATTTCAATACAGTAGTAGGCCAACGTTTAAATTTAAACAAAGTCTATCCTTGCATAAATTTCTTATGCAAGTGTGCGATCTACAATTTAAAGTATATAATTACATGTGGTTATGTGTGGTTTACAACAGAAATGTGAGATTTATGTGTATATCATAATATATCAAGATATAGATACATAGGCGACATTTACCGTTTCCATTCCATTATAGCGTAACGTGGCATATGTAAATAAATGAGAAGTAGATATAATACCATAATCCGAGACGTTGTTAAGAAGAATCAATGTAATGAAACGGTGTGTGGCCCGTGATGGCGCATGTCATGATTCACAATTTAGCGGGGAGAGGTCAGGAGGTAAACGATTTTTCTCGATAATTGAGATAAATACATCCATATCTTGTTATATAAAATGACTACTCCTATGACTGGCATTTATTATTCTTCATGTCACCAAAGCATTAGTGTGAACAGTTATGAAAAAATGAATCAAATAACAAATGTTGACGAAGTCGTGTAACTAATTTCTTGAAAAGACTTAAATACCTAATCAAATAACATAATATGTCACTTTTAAGCGAGTAAATATGATTTATATGTTTTCTATAAGTCATGATATTTTATCGCCTTATCACTAATGATTAATTTGCGCTGACCCCAGCCTTCTTGATTCATGATAAATCTGTGTCGCTTAATTAAAGTAAAATTAATATTTAATTATTCATCAAATATGTTTTTAAGTTATGAATTAGGGATTATAAGTTCTTTATTAACTAATTAAAAACCTGGCAAATGAATGAGTTCTTTGTCACAAATAATCCCTTTGAATGACGTAATCGTCCCTATAAACCATTTTGTACATTTATTTTAGTGATTCTCTATATTTATTGTTTGGACTAAATTAACTTATTTTTACATTTACAGCGTTTCGCGAACTCTTAACATCCAGAAATTACCTGAGTTCAATTTCACTTTGGCGTTCAAAGGAATTGAACATACAGACGAAAATTACAATTTGTTGAATCCAATGCGGTTAAGATAAATTCACACAGTTTGGCTGATATTTAGATACATTATATTCGAGTAGAAGTTTATAAAACTTATCCATCTACACCACTCAACGCTTACACTGTTCTTACAATAAATTATCCGTGAACAGAATTTAATGTAACTAAATGAAAATGACGCCGAATACAAACAACTGTCGGTTGGATAGTTGTTGTCTGTTACAACAAACGCCCAATAACACCCACTTCAAATCCACCACAACCATCCAGCAGAACAACACTTATAACGTGTATTTATGGTTAGAAATATCACTAATTGCAAGCAAGGAAATAAGGATAAAAACAAATTATTAACCTTCGTGCGAAATTGAAAACACTGTGCGAGAGTACGTGTGATGTTAATCATGAATATAACATTTGAAGTTGATAAAATCTACTCACCTGTACCAATGAAGCAGAAAAGAAATACGAACAGTAAGAACTGTGATACGCTAAGAATCATTTCAAATCCGGTCACTGAAAGATCATATTATATGTGATCACCGTTGCATAAAAGTTAGGAGCAAACTGCTGTTGGTACTTAGTGAGGCTGCGGCCACGCCTCCCAATATCCTCCCCTTATTGTGTCATTTTCAAATTATTAATATGTTTTTTTTTCATTATTTACTAATAAGTACAAATATATATTTTATAATTCACGATAAATTATATTGCGAATCAATAGCCTGTCCTGTTATTTATAGAGTCTTGTCTTGTATACACAAGCGTATGTGCATCGTGTAAACAAAAATGGCAGAGCATGTTTGCGTACAAACATTGATACCATGGTGATGTATAGCTTTAGAGTCTTATATCAACAATATACTCTTTATGTCTTTGTGGGTAAAACAAGACCGTTTCGTCCCGCAAAAAAATATGAGATTTTTCAACTGAAAAATTGATTGAAAACATTGAAAACTGAATCTCTTCATAGAGGATCTCTACACTTTACTCTTCTAAATAGCGATAAATGAAAAAAGAATGCCAATAATTAGCCAATATCACGTATCATATATGTAGGTCAACGTCTCCACACATAACAGTAAAATTTCCACTACTGAACTTGACATCACCAAATTAATATATTTCAATTAAAACACAGAACAGTACAATTATCTCATAATTGACATTGACTGTCACTCTTTATAATCGCAAAAAACCATACGGACTCATTTTGACGTATTTCCTATAATACAAAGTCGAGACCCGCAGGATGAAAACATACAACACAATTCTGCATATTTTTGGGAAATATCTCATAGCTGTGCAAATTAACAACTTTTCATACTTGACACGGTTAGTCACCAAGAGTCCTTCCGCAGTGAATGGATTTTAACACGTATATTGTTTATTCGCAGATGTTTAATGCACCGCCTTCCATTCACAACGGAAATGGGAGCGATACTGACTACGTATGTAAACGCTAGTAGTATGAATTGACACGTAAAATGACTACTGCCCTCAATATACCATGTGATACTGAGTACGTATGTAAAGTCTATTAGTATGGATTGATACGTAAACTGACTACTGTCCTCAATATACCATGTAATACTGAGAATGTATGTAAAGTCACATAGTATGGATTAATACGTAAACTGACTACTGCCATCAATATACCATGCGATACTGAGTACGTATGTAAAGTCTAGTAGTATGGATTGATACGTAAACTGACTACTGCCCTCAATATACCATGTAATACTGAGAATGTATGTAAAGTCCAGTAGTGTGGATTGATACATAAACTGACTACTGCCCTCAATATACCATGTGATACTGAGAATGTATGTAAAGTCTAGTAGTATGGATAAATACGTAAACTGACTACTGCCCTCAATATACCATGTGATACTTGA